GCTCTTCCAGTGGTTAATGCCACACTGAGTACAAAGTTAATACAAGGCCTGATCGTACCTTCTTCTCTCTTAAATTTCTGGTGCCTCAGCAGTGGGGCATAAAGAATAAGGCTTTGCTCTGTGAACATCCTTACCTGAACAGTGCCGGAATGACCTGCCGCGGAACTGGGAAACAACTTACAATCTCATTTCTTATCGCTAATACGGCAGTGGTTAATGCCACACTGAGTACAAAGTTAATACAAGGCCTGATCGTACCTTCTTCTCTCTTAAATTTCTGGTGCCTCAGCAGTGGGGCATAAAGAATAAGGCTTTGCTCTGTGAACATCCTTACCTGAACAGTGCCGGAATGACCTGCCGCGGAACTGGGAAACAACTTACAATCTCATTTCTTATCGCTAATACGGGGTAGTCTAGGGAGCTGAATTTGGCCCAGGACGCTTAGAGGCAAGGTCTACGTCTCAGTTTCAGGCTGTTTGTCAGCAGGTTCTGAGTGCGTTGGGTGATTACGGTGACCTTCGGTGTGATCGTGTAGCAGCAGGTCACGGCTGCCCTTCTTGGAAGAGAGCGCCAGAACGTCTGTAGCTGTAGTGGCTGGTGTGTACGTCCCGTGTGTCTGTGACGGGACCAGCAAGCCGGAATATTCCGTGCTCAGAGCCAGAACCGTCTTCTCCTTTTTCGTGTGTGTGCCAGAGCCGTGTTAATGCTTTTGTCTCTCTTGGACAATACAGCCAGCAGCATTAACTCAACACTTACTTTCCTTGCTGCGATCAGTGAAAGGTGAGACCTGTAGCACTCTCGGCAAGCGGGGACTGGCCTGAATGCGTGACCTCCAGGAGCAGTTAGCTCAGGAAGCAGTGAGAACGATGCAGAACCATCAGCATCGCGTACTGTCGGCGCCTTGAATAGCTCTAGGCTTGAAGAAAAGAGGTAACAGTGCGGTGGTGGTGTGGGCTGAGCGCCGTACAGGAGCCTCACTGGTACCGTTTCTGTAGGGGAAGCTGCCACCCTCCTGGCCTACAAGCTCTTTGGTAGCCCAGCACTAGAGCTGATTCAGGCATGGTGGCAAAACCTCACGTTATTAGCCGTTGATACCAGCACAGAGCTCCGCTTGCCTGTTTCCCTTTAAGAGCAACAGCCCGTCTGAGTTTTAGATGCCTTAGTTATGCCTGTAGCTAAAAGTTCTGTTTCATCAAGAGTCTGTAGCCTCTCTTGGTATAAATCTAGTCAGATAAGGGACCTACTTTAAAGAGAAACTTGAAAAAGGTTTTGGTTATACCCTCTTCCTTTCCCCACACCAGAAACAACCTGAGATCGTGAGGCTTTCCCTGTTAACACAAGGGGGTGCCTGATGCGTCAGTGGCCATCGGCTTCAGTGAGGCTCTAGGTTTTTACATGGTTCGAGTATGGCATGTCACGGCCTCTAGAAATAGCTGCCGAGCAAGGCAGAGGCTTTTTTTCTGGGATAGGAGCAGGAACGTAGAGAAGTCATTGCTTTCTTAGTCCTTAGGGCAAAGGTTTTCCTGCTCCTTGATCTGTTTCTTCCAGGAGGGAGGGGAGAGCAAGGGATTGGAGAAAACAACCCTCCTCCTCTTCTTGCATGGTTTACTTCATTAAATCACCAGCCATCAAGCTGACAGTGTACTTGCTAAGGTCCCGTTCTGTGCTGGCGTGCTGAGGCGGCAGGGCACAGGAATGAAAACGGTTCCTGAGCATGTCAGGAATCCTGCTCTTGTCCTCGTGTGGAAATAGTAGGGCTATATGGAGCACAGAGTAAAATGCCTGTGTAGCCTGGTCTGCCAGCGCTGTTGCTCCCGCTAGCAGAGAGCACTGGTGGGGAATTACAGCTTTAACTCTCGCTGATCGGGACGCTTTTCTGCACCGGGCGTGCGCTGTGCCTCAAGGTTTGCGCGGGAGCAGGCAGCGCTGGGCTTGGTGCGCGAGCGGAAGGCCGGCGTGAGCTGGGAGTCGGGTGGAGGAGATCGTCCTTGCTGCGGTAGGTGCAAAGTCCGGGCTTGCTGTGTCGCCGCTCTGTTTTCTGTTGGGTTGGTGTCGGCTTCCCCAGTAGCTGCGGCGCTGTCAAACCAGTGCCTGGTAGTGTGGGTCTGGGACCTTGTCCGGTGCGCTTCTGCTCCAGCACTTTCTCTGAGTGCTTACATCTCCTGTCCTTTCTGGGAGCGTGCAGCCTTTCTGCGTGGAGACATGCTTTATTTTTACCCTTATTTCCAAGGGGATTTCACGAGCAGCTGGATTGCTCTGTGTGTTTGTTTCTTTTGCCCGTTCCCAGCCTGGTGGAATGGATTAAGGCAGTCTCCTTCCCTTGTTGCTGGCGAAGGGATTCTCGCCTACCGTGAAACCGTGCTGGCAGCAGGCTGATGGCGTTTGGGCGTGCTTCCTCTGCTCGGTGAAGAGCTGCCAGAGGACTGGGAACTGACAGCTGTCTGTGGCAGCGTGGTCTCCTACGGTGTGCCGGCTGTAAGGGAAGGCATGCTGAAAAGAGGAGAAAATACCGTAACTCTCAGTCTGGGAATGCTGGAAATCATGTGAGAGCATGAGAAGCAGCAGTAGAGAGTGTCTCATGTCCATTTTTAGGAAGTACTTAGTAACATGAGGTGTTCACAACATCCTCTTCTCAAGGTTGCACTTGGTTATGTGGAAGGAGTGCTTTTCACCACTTTATAGTTGGGGAAAACGCAGTAAAGGGCAACCGCTTGGCATTTATGTACGTGCAGCTGTGGTCAGAGGTGAACAGCTGTGTCCTTGGTGTGCACAGGTCATGCGTACTGTGTATTCAGACTGTCACTTCTGCGGCAGACAGTGCTGCTATTGTAGGTGACAGTGCAAGGCACTCCTTTCCTGGTGTTTATAAAGCATAGCTTGTATCCCGATAATCGACTTCCCTGGTCACAGAGTAAATCAGAGCCAGCTTGCAAACCCAGAAGCCCTGAGCTGCAACCCAAACTGTTGCTGATGCTTCCTCTGTGTCCTCTTTCCCCGCCAAAGAGTTGTTGCTTCTTCCTTTTCCCTCCTCCCTGCAAACTCATGCACCTCTCAAACTGGTCTCTCTGTTACTGTAGGTCTTCTTGAGCTGAAAGGATGAAAATTGGCGATTGGAAAGTCACCGTCCTAAGCTTCATCCTAACTTCTGGGGTCCAAGTTGATGTCTTTGGGTGTACGAGGCTGCGAGAGTGTCCGCTGTCCCCTCCCATGATTTAGACAGCGGCTTGGAGCATGCATCATTGTAAGGTTTACATGATTTCAGCACTGGTGGTGACACTGTCCCTTTCCCAGTCGGTGCAAAGGGGTTAATTTAAATCGGTCCCGAATCCCATCCCGGATCCAAGGGTCTCTTGGGTCTCTCATCCATCCAAGGATCCAAGACCCACCCCAAGGGTCTCTTCCTGCTCCCTCCTTTTGTCCCTGGGCTCTCTCATGCCAGATCAGTCCCTGCCCTCCCCACCATCACCCGCTTCCAGTAGCGCAGCCGGCCCCTGGCTCGCCCTGCGTCTGACCTTCTCTATCCCTTTTTGCACGCTGTGATTCCAGAGCGGGATGGTCGGCCACCGAAGCTGCAATGTCGTCCCTGACGACCTCCAGTGAGGGAGAGAACTCCACTCCCCGGTTTGTTGTCGGTTCCAGGGATGATGAGACAGACTTTCTGGGATCAAACATGAAGACAGATGAAACTGATTTCTTTGAAGATGATGAAGAGGAGGAGTCGGTAAGGAGGTCCCGGCGTTCTGGGTTGGAGCATCCGGGCAGAATTCCTGGGTCTCAGCCAGGGTTTGCGCGGTTGCTGCTGAGGCCGCGGGCAGTCAGGACTTCAGGGGATGTGGCACCGGGCTGTGTGGCACAGCCCTGGGGAACAGCAATGTCGTTTCTGCCAGGACGTATTGCGTTGTCATGCTGCCATACTCGCTGCCTCGTGCTGCAGCAGATCCTGGCCTTTTTGCTTGCAGGTCTTTTTCAGGTACAATAGCAGATTTCTTTTCCCTAGCAACTTAACCCTGACACTCCTGTAAACCTTTCTGTTTCACCAGGGAAATTGTTGAGGAAAACTCTGGGAACTGTGAAAAGGGCAAAGGTGTGTCTGCAGAAAGGAAGCATTGATTCTTTTCTGTAACCTCCAGGAGCAGGATGCAGAAAGGAGACTGATCTCCAGCTCCTGACTGCTTTTGGCCCCTGTTCAGTGTTATATTAAATGTTACATTTGCTGTTCTGCACGTGGGCCTTGGACGCTGCAGGGACATTGCTGCTGGCTGTGCGAATTGCTGGGGCCATACGCCGGTGCAGCGGTCATTTCCATTGCCTCTGCACCCCGAGTCTCCATTGCAAGGGGGCTGTTGACCTAGGAGCCCTCATGGGCTTCCTTCAGACCCATGCAGTGCTGCGCACCTTGATGCTCAGCGAGGAGCTATTTATCAGGTGTGTTCTGAAGTCTCAGCTTAGAGTTTGAAGCCACAATTGCTTGTGCTGGGTAACCCGCAGTCCTGTGCGTATCGCTTCAGATGATCTCACTGTGTTTCATCTTGCTTGGGCCAGAACTAATCTGTCAGGAAAACATCCAGTCTGGGGTTTCTAGACAATGATGGAAGGTCCACTACAAACCTTAGCCTGTTCCTCTGTTACGGTTACCGACGCTTTTTGAATGCACACCTTCTCTCTTGACTTACTCAGCTTAACTTTGTCCCACTGGATCTTGTACCTTTGTCAGATATATGGAAGAGCACGTGGTACTGTTTCTCTTCTACTCATAGCTACTTACTGTTGTAATCTCCCCTTCGTTTTCTCTCAGATAAGACAAACAGAATGAGCTCCTGGACTTTTTTGCTATAAAACATTTGCGGCTCTTCTCTGAGCCTGCCTAAGTCCACCAACTGTCTTGGTGAGTTATGGGCCAGAGAACAAGATGTGGGTTTCCAGTCCCTGCTGCTTGTTCAGGTGCCAGATATTTATTTCTGACCTTAGCACTAGTGCCCAGTACAAGGAGGAGGTACATACTGCCTGGCAAAGAAGCGGTTGTTTTGGGCTGCTCCTTAATGATGTCCCGCAGTGGACTCTAGGGGAAGCTGGGAGTGAGTATGGGTTCGAGTCTAGCAAGAGCTGCGAGTGCGTAAGGTTGGGAGAAAATCCCTTGTTTGTTCTGCACGGCTGCGTTTCTACACTGTTATAGTTTAAATTCAGTAAAGTAGTTGTCCCTGTACTAAACTGATCTTTATCTTCCCTTAGCCACCTGAACGGCAGATTGTGGTTGGAATCTGTGCCATGACCAAAAAGTCCAAGTCAAAGCCCATGACACAGATTCTGGAGCGTCTGTGCAAGTTTGAGTATATCACAGTGGTGATTATGGGGGAAGACGTTATTCTGAATGAACCGGTGGAGAACTGGCCCTCTTGTGACTGCCTGATATCGTTCCACTCCAAAGGTAAAAAGTCTGTGGCAGGCCTTAGCCTGCTTGAGATCTGGGCAAGGGAGCTGCACTCATTCTCCCCCCCACCCCCCACCCCTGTGTTTCAGGATTCCCCCTGGATAAAGCAGTTGCTTATGCCAAGCTGTGCAAGCCGTTTCTGATTAATGACCTTGATATGCAGTATTATATCCAGGACAGGTAGGTGTCTGTGATCCACTAAAGCCCCTTCCCTCTTCTTCTGTCCGATTCCTCTCCTCAGCATGCTGTGCAAACTTTGTCTTCCTGGCCACAAGCAAAGTGAGGTGGGGAGGAAGGGGACCTTAGCAGTGGCTTTTAGGGGTTGTTTCTCCAAAACATGGAGAGGAATAGATTTGGGGGTAAAACCGTTGAGACTTGGCATGTTTCATTTTCTGGTGCAAATGTCTGGTAAGGAATGGCTAGGTGAAGGAGGACGTGGAAGAGCG